GGAAAGGAAGGAAGGAAGGAAGGAAGGAAGGAAGGAAGGAAGGAAGGGAGGGAGGGAGGAAGGAAGGAAGAAAGAAAACCTTAAGCAGGCTCCACACTCAGCACAGAGCCTGATGTGGGGCTTTATTTTACAACCCTGGTATCATGACCTGCACCCATATCAAGAGTCAGACGTTCAATCGACTGAGCTATCCAGGTGTCCCATGACAAATTTATTTTAACTTTAAAAAGTAATTAAATCCAGAGTGAAACAATTAAGTGTGCAGGTCAAGTAATTCATTCAGATGCTTGAGGCACAGTGCAAATTTAAATGTGGGGAGTTACATAAAGCATATATTCATTGTGAAAGAAATACTCTAGTACAATGTTTGTTTATTTCACGTACTACGTATTTGTTGACTAACCAGACACTGGGGATACAATGGTAAACAGACAGAAGTTCCCTGTCCTCATGGGGAAGCAGTGTCAAATAAGTACAGAAATTAATGTTAAATTTTGATGGGTGTTAATAAAAGAAATAAACAGCTAAGATGCAGCATGAGGAAAGTTTTACTAGAATAATCCTTTTAGAAAGAAATTTGTCATCGTCTTTCAGTAGACTTTAAAATGTTTAATATTTGTTAATTAGGTAATCCCATGTCTAGTAATCTGCACTGTGAAAATGATAAATATGGAAAAAAAAGTTTAAACGTTTAAGAGTATTCCTTGTAATCGTTAGTAAGGGTGACTAATGGGTAGATAATCCAAATGTCCAATATCCAATAGTAAAAAATCATACATAGAAGAATATATACAATATGATTTTGTTATAAAGGCAAAGAGATGAATTAGTAATAGAAAATACTTCATAGAAACTTTAATAAAGGGGAAAATATTTTATGAAAAAATGTGGACACATTGTATGTTTAATAGGAATAAAACTGCAGGGGGAAAAAGGATGCAGAGTAATGGATTAGTGGGAAATAACAAAATCTTAACAGTAGTTGCTTTAGTTAGTAGGGTTATAAGAATATTTTAATGATGGTCCCTTATCACCAGCGTTGTCAAGCTCACTCCTCCCAGAGGAAATCACCATAAACCATTTGGTTTTTGTCTTTTCTGAATTTTACCTGCACATTTGCATGTAAATATTTATACATACAGTTTAATTTTAAATGTTAATGGAATCATAGCATATATACCATAATGATATCACACCATATATCTTGGAACTTGTATTTCTTGCTTGTTTTGTTTTGTTTTTTGGTTAATGTATCTAAGTGTTCTTTTTTGTTGTTGTTGTTCATTTATTTTTTTAATTTACATCCAAGTTAGTTAGCATATAGTGCAACAGTGATTTCAGGAGTAGATTCCTTAATGTCCCTAACTCATTTAGCCCATCCCCCCTCCAGTAACCCTCTGTTTGTTCTCCATATTTATGACTTTCTTATGTTTTTGCCCCCCTCCCTGTTTTTATATTATTTTTGTTTCCCTTCCCTTATGTTCATCTGTTTTGTATCTTAAAGTCCTCATATGAGTGAAGTCATATGATATTTGTCTTTGTCTAATTTCGCTTAGCATAATACCCTCTAGTTCTATCCATGTGAGGTGTTCTTTTCATATAAGTTTATTTTTGTGAGAGCTCAGTATTCTATAATAGGGATATAAAATAATTTATTTATCATTTATTAGACTATTCTCCTTAGTTTACGGTTCTTGTTGAAAATACCACTGTGAATATCATTGTTCATTTGTTCATTTATTAAGTATTTTTTAAACCCCTTTGTGTGCCAGGCACTTTTCTATATGCTCGGAATTCAGTAGTGAACAAAATAGACACAAACCTCACACTCAGGGAGTTAACATTTAAGTATATATCTCTTTGTACATGAGCAGAAATTGTCGTAGAGTTGGTACCTGGAAGTCAAAGCATCCTGAATTTTGATAGCACCACCAGCTTGCTTTCAAAAGGCTTTAGTTTTCTCTCCCACCACAGCTATAAGATCACATTTTCTTTTGTATCACTTTCTTTTTTCCCTGTTGGTGCTATTTAAAAATATAAAAATAAGGGGAAACTTGAAGAATGTTCCTTCTGGGAAGGCAGATGCTTTTACTTATTTGAAATGGAATTACCAATTGATCAGAATAAAGTTACCCCAGGGAAACAGAATAGAGGCTAAAACCAGACTAATAGCTGTATAGATGCAATTAAGTTGGAAACAGAGGAGCAGTCAATTTTTGATACTGAAATAATTTGTACTCTCTATGGGAAAAATGTATTGGAATTTAAATGTGGAAGGCAAAACTTGAAAACTTTTAGAAGGCAATATAAGAGCACACATATCCCTGACATTAGGCTAGGGAAGTTCTTAAAAGACATGGAAAATACAAACAATAAAGGAAAAGATTGATAAAATGGAGACATTAAAATATAATGTATTTTTACTAAACACTTTTAAAAGAACTCAAAAGTTAAGTCACAAAACTGTGACAAATTGCAGTATATATGTCAAGGGATTAATTTCTACAGTATTTAAGAACTCCTAGTTTTTATTCAAAACAAGATAAATATTAATAGAATAATGGGCAAAAGAGATGAATGGGCATTTCACAGAAAAAAAACTAAGACATACAATAAAAATATAAAAAGATGCCCAGCCTCGCTCAAGAAGATGCAAGTTAAAACCAAAAGGAGTTAAGAGCACCTGAGTGGCTCAGTCAGTTAAATGTACGACTTTGGCTTAGGTCATGATCTCATGGTTTGTGGGTTTGAGGCCCGCGTCAGGCTCTGTACTGACAACTCAGAGCCTGGAGCCTGCTTTGGATTCTGTGTCTCTCTCTTTTTCTGTCCCTCCCCTGCTCGTGCTGTGTCTCTCTCTTTCAAAAATAAAGAAATGTAACAAAAAACAAAAAACCAAGGAGTTACCAAAACAATCTACAGATTGACTGTAATCCCTAACAAAATATCAATAACACTTCACAGAACTAGAACTGATAATCCTAAAATTTGTATGGAACCACAGAAGACCTCAAATAGCCAAAGCAATCTTGAAGAAGAACAAAACTGTATCACAATTCCTAATTTCAAACTATATTGCAAAGCTGTAGTAATCAAAACAGTATGGTACAGACACATAAATACACATAGATCAATGGAATAGGATAAAAAGCCCATGCATACAAACCCACACTTCTGTGGTCAATTAATCTATGACAAAGGAGGCTGGAATATACAGTGGAGAAAAGAGTCTTTTCAGTAAATAGTGTTGTGAAAACTGGACAGCTATATGCAAATGAATGAAACAACCACTTTCTTACACCATACACAAAAATAAACTCAAAGTGAGTTAAAGATATAAATGTGAGACCTGAAACCATAACATTCATAAAAGAAAAAACAGGCAGTAAAATCTTGGACAGCGGCCTTAGCAACATATTTGCGGATGTTTCCTTCAGGCAAGGGAAACAAAAGCAGTAAGAAACTATTGGGACTATACCAAAATAAAAAGCTTTTGCACAGCAAAGGAGACCATCAACAAAACAAAAAGCCAACCTAGTGAATGGGAGAAAATATTTGCAAATGACATATCTAATAAGGGTTAATATCCAGAATACATAAAGAGCTTATACAACTTAGTACCAAAAAAACCAAACAATTCAATTAAAAAATGGACAGAGGACCTGAATAGACCTTTTTCCAAAGAAGACATACAAATGGCCAACAGCCACGTGAAGAGATTCTCAAATCACTATCAGGGAAATGAAAAAATCAAAACCACAATGAGAAATCACCTTACACCAGTCAGAATGGCTAGTATCAAAAAGACAAGATAGAGTGAATGTTGGTGAGCATGTAGAGAAAGGGAATTCCCAAGCACTGTTGGTGGGAATGTAAATTGGCGCAACCACTGCGGAAAACAGTGGTTAAAATTAAAAATTTTTAATTTAATTTTAATTCCTCAAAAAATTAAAAATAGAAATATGATCCAGTAATTCCACTGCTGGGTATTTATCCAAAGAAAATGAAAACACAGATTCAAAAAGATCTATGCACCCCTATGTATATGCAGCATTATTTACAGTAGCCTAATTATGGAAATAGCCCTAGTGTCCACCGATATAGATGAATGGTTAAGAATTGGTACACACACACACACACACACACACACACACACACACACACACACGATGGAATACTACTCAGCCATAAAAAATGAAATCTTGTCATTTGCAACAACATGGATGGATCTAGAGGGTATAATGTTAAATGAAATAAGACAAAGACAAATACCATATGATTTCACTCATAAGTGAAATTTAAGAAACAAAACAAATGGGGAAAGAAAAAAGAAGCCAAGAAACAGATTCCTAACTACAGAGAACTGGTTACCAGAGAGGATGTGGGTGGGGGCTGGGTGAAATAGGTGAAGGAGATTGAGTACACTTATCTTGATGAGTACTGAGTAATGTATAGAATTGTTGAATCATTATACTGTACACCTGAAACTAATAGAACACTGTGTGTTGACTATACTGGACTTAAGACAAGAAAAATATAGGGACATGTAGACATTTGGTAGAACTATAAAGCAAGGGAATGATTTAACACAAATTTCAGGGTGGTTCTAACCTTTGAGGGGAAAGTAGGAGGATATGTGGTACAATGGTAATGTGGAAGTTGTGTTTCTTAAACTGGGTGGTGAGTACAGGAATGTTTTATTATTCTTTTAGTTGACCTTCCTTTTATGTTTGTATGAGAGGTTTTGTAATTTCAAAAATCAGCCAACAGCTAAATCACTTTAACATAATTCCTTTATTTCTATTAGTCTTAGCCTTTCCATAATACTGGGCATTTAACATTCAATAAATTCTATTTCATAAAAATCTAATCAATTATGTCTTTAAGACTTTCAGTTAATGATAAAACCTTAATTCTGTTTCTTGTACAAGTCTGATGTGGTAGTCATTTTCATTTTAAATTAGAAATTTAGCGGCGCCTGGGTGGCTCAGTTGGTTAAGCATCGAACTCTTGATTTTGGCTGAGGTCAGGTTCTCTAGGTTGTGGAATTAAGCCCCGCCTCAGGCTCTGTGCTGAGTGTGGGGTCTGCTTAGGATTCTTTTTCCCTCTTCCTCTGCCCCTATCCTGCTTGCCCTCTCTTTTGCATGCGTTCTCTTTCAAAAAAATAAATAAATAACTTAGAAATTTATTTTTTATGTATATTCAGTTTTCATTTGAATTTTGAAATTTTGGCTATAAATACTCAAAAGAGTATTTTTGCTTTGAAGAGTCTTTTAACATTTTAACAAATGTTAAAAGTAGTTCAGCCTTGATAATTTTATTTTTCCTGGCAGCTAGCATTGGATATGTGGAGGAAATTGATGGTTGAACCACTTCAGACCATCCTTATCCGAATGCTGCTCCGAGAAATAAAAAAGTGAGTACTGATACTTATCTTCTTGAGTCAATTCTAATTTGCTGTTTGAAATGGTTTCAAATAGTGTACCGTTGCATGGGTGTTGACTAGACATAGGCCATGTGTTACTTAAATGAGCCTCATTTTCCATCTAAATGGCAATGTTTTAAATTGTTTCATAATTTTTTTTGGCAGGTCTTTGGTCCAATATACTTAATAAATAAATAAATCCCTGAAGGAAGTGACCTATCATTTGTTGTTGCAAGCCTGGTACCCTCTTGGATTTTCCAGGGCAGTGCTGAATTGTTTGAACATGTTCTGTCAGTTTAAATCCTGATGAGGGTAACCTACCTATTCAAGAAAACAGATTTTTCTAGGTAGTTGGCTACCTTTTAGCCCCAGTGTTAAATCAGTAACTTGCCTATTAATGTGAGGTTAGTTTATAGGAAAATGGCTTCTCATTTTACTCAGGACCCAGTGTTTTGGACTTTACCTAATTGCTTTGTGAATAGAATTGGAGACAAAGTAAGTTTTCCCATGGAGTCCAGAATAGAACATCCTTGCATCCGTTCTGGCCTAAAAGATTCTTACTAGGCTTCAGCTTTGGGAAACCTAAAGCACTAAAAGTCACTCATACAGATGTGTATATAATAAATATCAGGTTATTGGTACTGATATTGTAGGAATTATCTAGACCAGTGAATTGCAACGTGATAATGGCCACTCCATCTGAAAATGCTTTCTCTAAAGAATACCCAAATATGGAGTTTTTTATGTGAGGGAAAAAAAAGGAAAGCATTGTTCTTTCTGTGAGCTCCTACTGGGAAATAAGGGACTTAAAAACAAAAAACTAAAGAAAAACATAAAGCTACGAAAAAGGGTAATGGAATATTTTAAAATTTATTGTTAATGCTAAGTAGAAAGTAGATGGTAGCAATTAATAACTTGGTTTTAAAAACCTGTCGCTTCCCTTTTAATTATTCCATTTTTTCTAAAGGTGGTGAGGAGAGAAAAGGCAATACTAAAGCAGTAGGGTGGAACAATTTTTTTCTTCTCTTTTCTCTACTAAACTATAATTAAAAGAATACTCCCAACAATATTTATAGGTTCTAACATAATTTATTTTTCTATTAAATATTAACTTTTTTCTTAACCTGGAATTCAGTTATTTTACATTGAAAGTTTATTGAAAGTATTGTTAAAATTTTCTGAATGTTAGTTTTTTGAAATGTCTCTTTTAATATGTTTGTCCCAACCTAGTAAATTTTCTTAAGTGTGATTGTTAGCTTGTTAAAAATGAATTTGATGGAAGATTTTAAGAAATTTTCTAACTGTATAAGAAAAATAATGCAAGTATATGATATTCTGGAAAAGATGAATAGATTATTTGGTTATAGATATTAGGCCAACTGTTCTTAGTTTTGTTGTTATAATCAGCTTCCATTAAAGTATTACTTGACATGCCCTACTAATACCTCATTTATTTTTCATGTGTACTCTATTAGGTTGGTGTTATCCCACCTTTTACAGCTAAGTAAGCTAAGGCATAATAATAATAACAATAATGGGGCACGTGGGTGGCTCAGTTGGTTGAGTGTCTGACTCTTGATTTTGGCTCAGGTCATGAGCCCAGGGTCATGGGATCAAGCCCTGCATCAGGCTATGTAGTGAGCATGGAGCCTGCTTAGGATTCTCTCTCTCTTTCTGCTCATCTCCCCTGCTTGCGCCCTCTCTTGCTCTCTAAAATAATAAATAATAAATCAGTAAATAGTAACGACAACAAATAATAAATATGGGAGCTATGTGCCAAGAAGTGTTCTAAAAGCTTTACTGGCATTATCCCATTAATCCTCACCACGCTGGGATGTTGGTACTATTTCCATTTCCATTTTACAAATGAAGACATCAGTGGTGGCACTCTAAGAAGACTAATTTGACTCCAGCCCCTATTTTCTTTTTTTTTTTTCTCTTCAGCTCCTATCTCCAACTTACCAACTCTATATCCATTAAGCCTGTCTTTTTAATTCACAGAATATTTCTTTCATTCCCAGTTCCAATATTTTAGCTTTTATATACATTTGAGTTTTATAGTGCTTTGAGTATTCTAGTATTTTCACACATAGTACTTTGTATGATCTTAAGGTGGCAGTTTTATTTATAAGTAAATAAATTGAACTTTCAATAGAGAGAAACGACTTCTTGAATTTGATATAGCTAAGGAAAGAGAGTCCATGCCTAGAAACTTCCAATTTGGGTCTTTCTACTATGTTGCTTTAGTATTGTTAGTATTGTTTAGTATTGTTTCCACTATGTTGCTTTACCCATTGTTGTTTGAAATAATATGGCCAGATATCATAACTTCCGTTACATGGACAAGTGGCTGTGTTAAGTATTTCCCCATTGATAAACTTGTCTGAACAGGATGTGAAGGTGAATATTATCATAGACTCATTTACAAATGGGGAAAATGAGGCTTGCGAAGGCAATCTCACCTTACTCAGGTCACATAACTAGTACATGGCAGAATGAGAATTAGGATTTAAGGCTAACAGAGAGGTATTTTATCATATGTACCTACAACTTCTTTTTGGAAAGAGCTCCACTAAACTTACAGTTTAGCAGAGCATATTACAAATTTGATTTCCTATCAGCTTATTTAGTTTCCTTTCCTGTAATCACCACTGCGTTCCTAGGAATTTTCTACAAGTGTCTAAACAATAAGGGTGCCTGGGTGGCTCAGTCGGTTAAGCATCCGACTTCAGCTCAGGTCATGATCTCGCAGTCCGTGAGTTCGAGCCCCACGTAGAGCTCTGTGCTGACAGCTCAGAGACTGGAGCCTGTTTTAGATTCTGTCTCCCTCTCTCTCTGACCCTCCCCCGTTCATGCTCTGTCTCTCTCTGTCTCAAAAATAAACATTAAAAAAAAAAAATTACTGTGAACTAATGGTTTCTTAAATCTGGCCAGTGAAAAGTTTACACAAGGGATATTTAAAAGTATTGCTCTACAAAAAAATTATAAAATAAGTTGATTGTACACAATTAAAAATATATAGAAAGTTACAAAAAAATTAGAAGGCCTTCATTTTTCCCCTAATACCTTCAATACTGTTATTTAAAGCAAATCACTATTAAGGATTTAAAGTATTTTCTGAAAAAATTCTCTATGCATTTAAGATTGTGTGTACATTTGTTTATATGGATGTGCATATGTATATATCTACATACGTATAAATACTACATACAGTATTACACACACATATGTACATGCATTGGGGGAATTTACAGAAGTATTACGAATACCTAATAATATATTCTTAGAAATTAGAATAGATTAGTGCTTGGTATGAGGCTATAAGTATGAGGGAGTTGCTTTATGGTGATACAGTAGATGTATATTTTGAATATGGTGGTAGTAACATGAATCTAGGTATGTGATAAAATTTCATAGAATTACATAAATACAAATATACACAAATGATTATGTGTTAAAGCTGGCAAATTCTGAATAAGGTCTATAGGTTGTATCAATGTTGATTTCCTGATTTTGACATTGTGCCATAGTTACGTAAGATGTTACCATTGGAGAAAATTGGGTGAACATGTCCAGGACTGCTTTCTGTTATGTTTGCAGCTTCCTGTGAATCTGTAATTATTTCAAAATTAAAAAAATTTTTTTAAGTTTAAATGGCACATAATATGTGAATATCCCTGTTTTCTTCCTTTTAGCTGTAACTTTCTTCTCTTCATAAGTAACTACTGAGAACAGTTTGATTGTACTTAAATATTTGTTTATTTAAGTACAGTGGTTATATTTATTTTTTGTGGAAACTTTATATTCCTTTAGGAAGATGATGAAAGCTTTAGAGCCTCCCCACATAAAAATACTCAATATGCATATGCACACAAAACTTTATGTACATTTTAGAAGGTTTATGGATTCCTAGGATCAGAATTGCTGCCTTAGCATTTATATGGCAGATTTCTTTTTCCCTAAGAGAATCATTTGGCAGATTGCAATCTGAAATAAGTCTCTATGCTTAATGTTTGTTGAATTGGAAAAGTTTTTATTTATTCTGACATTATAATTCAGCAGCAAAACAATCATGACTTTAGTATCCTTTCTGTTGCATAATCAGAAACAAAGACAAGAGTTTAAGTGACAAATGAGAAAAAAATTATAACTTTTTAGCTCCTTTTTTTTAAGTTTATTTATTTTGAGAGAAAGAGAGAGAGAGCATGAGCAGGGGAGGGGCAGAGAAAGAAGGAGAGAGAAAATCCCAAACAGGCTGTGTGCTGCCTGAGCTTGGGCTTGGTCTCATAAACCGTGAGATCAGGACCTGAACCAAAACCAGGAGTTCAACGCTTAACTGACTGAGCCACCAAGGCTCCCTGCTCCTTTTTTTTTTTTTTTT